TCTGTGTCTCTCCCCACAACCCCCACAATAAGAAATCTCCTTTGTGCTGGGAATCTGGTGTCTGAGACCCCCTTCAACACCCAAGTGTCCTCATGAGCCCTCAGAGCTCTGCACTGCATTCCTCTTTCATTTGTCCCTGAGGATAAGAAGGAGATGGAGGGTGGGCCAGGCTAGCAGGAGCCAGAAGTGTCCTTCCTGTTTGCTCAAGCAGGCTAACCAGCGCTCAGACTCCCCTAGGATTCTGAAGAGTCTGTTCCCAGGCCCTGCTGGGAGCCTCTGTGTAACGGAAGTTTCGGTTTCTTTGTATGTTATGAAAATATGCTTTTCGTTTTCGTGGGATTTTAGTTTGGGCTACAGTTTGTCCACTCCTGGTAATTGTCACGTGTGGGGTGTGATCTTTGCCAGCTGGTGACAGCCTTCCACATCTAGGACTCTGAGAGTATAAATAAGAGGCTGAGAAAGAGACTGTGTGGCGTTCTGGAGAGGTATTCTCTGTGGTTTTCGGTGTTGGCGTGTGGCGTGGAGCAGATTGGAGAGACCAGAGACCAGGGATGGTGTGGCAGTTTGGAGCAGGCAGACAAAGAGAAACGCTTTGGGGTGCAGTGGCATGGAGGCTGTTGGCTGCATCTGTGGTTGATGGAGATTGGTACAGAGCCCTAAAAACAGCAGGGATGGATTAAGGGGTCTGGGCCCCTCTCCCCACTAACCTTTTCTCTCTCCTACTTAAGGTTGGGGGGGTTGGTGGAAGGGAGATAGAGGACTAAACACCCCAAATAAAGGAGAATTTAAACAACCAAACAATAACAAAATGCTACAGGTAGCTTTCAGCCGGCTCTGAGTCCAGCCCTAGCTGACTCTGCAGCCTCCCAGGTTGCTGTCAGGCAGTGAGGAGAGAAGAGAGATGAAGCAGGCCTGGGCCCTTGAGACAGGAGATACTTAGAATAAACATCACAGTGCAGTGTCTGGATTGAAGCCAGACAGCGGGGTAGAGAAATCAGCTTGAATGAACAAGGGGAAACTGTACATAGCCCACAAGAACATTATGTCAACACACATGGCATGATCTCACTCTGGGACACTAACATATGAGTGGTCACCACTGGCTCGGGGCTGAGGAAGACAGAGTCACGCTTTCACCACCATCTTGACTAAGGGCAGCCGTGTGCTGGCAGGGCCTCTGCTATGGGCTGGAGAAGGCAATAGTCGTAGGGCTTACCACCATTTGGACTAAGCACAACCACATGGTTTATAGACTTCCTGCCCTGTCTTAAAAGCCAGGTTTGGAGGAGACAGGACTTAAAACAGTGCGTGGTTACTATATTAGAGCTGCACCTCCGCGTGCTCATGTACGTGCGGGAACGGACCTTGCTGAGAGCCAAACTTTGTAATAAAAAATAATCCACTTGCTACTATTGATTTTAGAGAGATTAATTGTTTACACTGTTAGAGCTCGGTTTTGCCTTCCGAAGACTATGGTTTTGCTGTGAGTCTCTGCTTTTAAAAAAGGCTCTTTATTATGATATTGCAAAAACACAGTTGAGAGATGTTAAGCTTCTTTTTTAAAGTTTTTACAGCATTAAAAAGGTTGAAAATCACTGGCTTAAAAGTATGTCTCTTCTTACCTAAGGTCTATTCAGGCTAACAGGGACCAAGTTAAGATTATATGTCTAATCTTGCTTTTGCTAGTGTTATTAAGCTGTAGCAATTTTTTTTTTTTTTTGTAAACTGAGTCATGCACAAAACTGTTATGTTCTATAACAATGCACCATAGGAGAAGCAGGAAAGTTCCCAGTGTCTTTACGAACTGTGTTTATGGATCAAAAATTTATACTAGAAGAGTTTCAATTTAAAATTGCTATTTTAAGGCCAAACCTAACAGGGATGGAATGTAAAGTCCTAGTCTTAAAAAAAGCTACTAAATTATTGTAAACTGTTAACGATAATTTTAAGGGTCTGAGGAGATGGCTCAAAGGTTAAGAGCACTGATTGCCCTTCCAGAGGTCATGAGTTCAATTCCCAGCAACAACATGGTGGCCCACAACCATCTATACTGAGATCTGGCGCCCTCTTCTGGCCTGCAGGTATACATGCAGGCAGGTCATTGCATACAGAAGGAATAAATCTTAGAAATTAAATGGTAAGTAAAGATAAAATTTTAAACTGCAAGGTAATAGTAAGTCACTTTATAAATTGCCAAATTTTTAATATGTCTAAAACCATATTTACAGTCATGCTAAACAGTACTAATAACTAAAAACAGACAAGGATTGTTTAACTCAGATAAGACTGGTAGATACTAGCCCTCAAGGCTGTCAGAGATCTGCTGAATATGGAATTTAAGATGTTTAAACTTACCTATGGCAGATAGAGATGCCCTGAACCAGCAACGACCCCCAATGTCTCCGATTAAAAAAATGGACTCAGTGACAAAGGGCTTCACCTGGATTACGGTAACCACCAACCCCTGAGCAGTACTACCCCAATGGCTCACTTACTGCTGGGCCCACCCCAACTGTGGACAAGCAGGACACCAGAGGGTCCTTGCCCCACTCAGCCTAGACAAAGGTCAGCCTCTCCCATGCTCCTCCTCCGCAGAAACGCCTCTCATTCTCTGGGCCCGATGGCTAAAGACTGATGCCTCTGCTCCCAGTGCCATCTCCCTCGCCTCCCTGTGGAACAGCCAGGATGCAGCTCTCAGATTCTGCTGCGGTACCTGCCTGCATGCTGCCCTGCTCACCACCATGCTGAAAATGGACAAAACCTTTGAGACTGTAAGCATACCCGCCATCAAATACTTTTTTCATAATAGTTGCCTTGGTCAGGGTGGTGTCTTTTCACAGCAATCGAGCAGTGACTAAGACAAAATCTCCTTCTTCTACCCAACTGCTCTTCGAGGACATAGCTCAGGGCTGTGCTTGCCCTGGTAACCTGTAAGGACCCTCTGCATCGCCCTGTTTGTGGGCAACACACATAGTCTTCTCCAGTCTGCTCTGCCACAAGAGGTTACATTCCATGTAATTGCTAGGCTGGAGGTCTGGGGACAACAAGATCCCACCAGAAGCCCACACTAGGAAAGGCCCTGAAAATCGCCCATGCAAAACACTGGACAGAGCCAGACATAAGACCACTCTAAAAACTCTAAAAACTCTCAGATAAGGCTATAACTGCAGTACCTCACCATCACTTCACTGCCTCCCTCCGCTTCCTCACAAAAACTACAGCCCAGCCCTAAGATCGGTCAGCTCACTCCAGAGCCATTCTCAAATAAACCTGCCTTTTTACTCTCGGCTTGAACTGGTTTGTTTTGTCAGCGGAGGAAACCCAACAGCAGTCATTCTTGCATTCATGCCCAAACTCTCATATTTTCTGGTAACCGTAACGAGTTAGCTTGCTATTTCCAGGCTAGAAAATGCTTTGTGGAAGACATACGCTCCCCTGTCCCCAGAATCTACTGGGACATTGCTGGCCTCTGCCCGAGTTCCACTCTGCCAGGAGAAAGGCGCACTCTAGAGTGCCATGGCTCCCTCAGCCTGGATCCCAGAATGAAGCAAGCACCAGGAGCAGAACCCACATGAGCAGGAGGTTAAACTTAGTTGCTGTGACCAGCTGAGGTTTGAGGTTGTTACTGTGGCACAGCCCAATGAAAGCCACCAGAGCTGGGTTAAAGTTAAACCTAGCTGTCCTCCGAGGTTGGCACTTCTCTGCTTAAATGTTTAGTTTGGCGTGTGTCTTAGCCCGTGTTCTACCGCTGTGAAGAGACAACAGAACACAGTAACTCTTATAAAAGGAAACACATAATCGGGGCTGGCTTTCAGTTTCAGAGTTTAGTCCATTATCATGGCGGGAAACAAGGTGGCATGCCGGCGGATGTGGTGCAGAAGACAGAGCTGAGGATTCATCTTGATCTGCAGGCAGGACAAGGCCACACGGCTCCAGGTAGCAGAACAAGCGCCACAACTTCTAACTATAGAGAACATCTCGTGTCAATCAAAAGCTGATGGCTTCTCCACTTGTCTGCGCTTTACTGATTCAGCATCAAAGCCCTACTCTTGAGTGTTTTGCCTGCATATATGTCAGTGCCTAAAGAGGCCATAAGAGAGCATCAGATGCCCTCAAACTGGAGTTGCAGAGGGTTGTGGGGAGGCTGGGAACCAAACTCTGGGTCCTCTGGAAGAGCAGCTAGTGCTCCTAACTGCTGAACCACCTCTCCAGCCCCTCACCTGTACCCCTTTTGACATAGTGGCATGGTTCCTGACTTCCTGCCTGGACGGTCAGCCTCAGCTGGGAACCTTGTGGCCACTCTCTTCCTTTTCCAGCCTCTGCATCTGTCTGTGGGCCTCAATATAGTGCCAGTTCCAGGGGCAAAGGACTGCCCAGGTGGTACCCAACTCCAGTCAAGCAGGGCCTGAACTTGGCACGAGGGAGCGTCACAGGGCTTAGTGAAGAAAGGACAGGTAAGCAGATTCCCGAGCCCTCTATTCTTCCAAGGGCCGACTGCTGGGAGCCAGTTCTGCTTCTTTGGGTGGTTTTACTCTGAGTTCGTGGTTTAAAAGCTGACGCAAACACTGCAGGGAATGGTAATTTATGACGGAAGTCAACAGATTTTTGACACTCTGGGAATTTTCAAGGCAGGAACCCATGCTTGGGAAGGCTGGTCCTTCTCTCCCGTAGGTGCCGCTGTTCCCCACACTAGTGACTGAGTTTGGTTCGCTGCTTCAACTTTTGACGCAAACACCCCCCCACCCCCGCACTGGAAGGTACCACCCGACGCTAGCCGAGAGCCGTGCAAACGCAATCCAAGCAAGCGCGCCGCTTGCGGAAGTCCGTTGAGCTTCACCTGCCTCGCCACTGGCCAACGAGCTTATGCATATGCAAATAAAATCTCTGTACTTTCTCCACTAAGTGGGTGAGAGGGGTGGGGGATCCGCCCCGAGGGGTGGAGGGAGGATGTGTATGTGTGATTAGTATCCGGGGCGGAGTCTGGGGCGGGACAAGCGCGTGGCCCGGAGATCCGCATCCCAGGAGGTGGTGCAGTCCCCCTCCCCCCCCCGCCCAGGACTGGGGCGGGGTTATGGGCGGGGCATGGGCAGGGCGAAGAGGCCGCTCAGGACCGAGCGAGCCTCCCTCGGCTCGCGAGTGTAGGTTCCCGAGCCGAAGGCATCCAGGAGACCATGAGTGCGGTGGACCTTGGTCGCGTAGGAGCGTGTGTCTTAAAGCATGCAGTGACCGGGGAGGTGAGGCCTGGCCGACGCAGGTCGGAGAACGCCTCCTAGCACTGGGCCGGGTGCCCTGGCAGCTCACATGGGCTGGATTGGAGGTCCTGAGGAGCCCCGTGGGTTTGCACGCTGGGCGTGGGTACAGCTGATGGTCCTCAGGACCACCAGTTCGGCCATGAATCCTGGAGCAGCACGCTGCAGGACATGGGGCTGCCCAGCGTAGCGGGGTGCTGAGTCCACGTCCCCTGACCACGTTTTGCAGGCGGTAGAGCTGAGGAGCCTATGGCAGGATAAAGCTTGCGTGGTGGCCGGTCTGCGACGCTTCGGCTGCATGGTGTGCCGTTGGATCGCCCAGGACCTCAGCAACCTCCGGGCCCTCCTGGACCAACACGACGTGCGCTTAGTAGGCGTGGGTCCTGAGGCCCTGGGCCTGCAGGAGTTTCTGGATGGTGGTTACTTCTCCGGAGGTTCGACTCTCCCCGGACTCAGCCTGGGCTGACCTCTCTGCCCAACCCTTGCCATCCCTTTCCAGGCCCAACAGGAACGAATTCATGTGTCAGGACCTTCAGCTCTCCCCTGCCCTGTCTCCAGCCTGTGCACCGGCTGGCACTTAGTCCTAGTGGCAAAGTCCCAGTGAGTCCTGCCCTTCCCGTTTAAGCAATGGTGACATTCAATCCGGCCTTGCTCCTCCTGCCTTGGGTGGGCTGAGCTGGGCACAGTAAGTGGAGGAGACAGAGTGCAGAATGTAGGAAGCCTGGGGCACATACCTGTGGCTTTCTTTTCTAGAACTCTATCTTGATGAGAGCAAGCAATTCTATAAGGAGCTGGGCTTCAAGCGGTAAGTGTGCCTGTGTGGGAGCATGGGTCTGGACAGGGACAGGACAGTGTGGCCACTGGTCTCTTATGTATCTTTTTGCTGCCACTCTCGACTCTGCGTTTCAGTTTGTCCCGTTGGAACTGACTCTGGTGGCATGGACTCAGCTAGCCCTTCTGTGGGGTCTGCTCTTGGGTGTTGGTCCAACCCTCTGCAGATTCATAAACAGGAGGGACCTTGCAGCTCAGTGCCTTAGTCATGCCCCATTTCAGCCCTCTGTTGCCACAGACTGCCTGTCATGATGGGCAGTGCCAGCTGAGCCAGATCCCTGGGCACACTCAGCCCAAGGTGGGGTGGGCTGCTCCACTACCTCTCCAGGGCCCCAGGCCAGCTGTATTCAGCCTGGGGGTTCCCAGGGCTTCTGTATGTCCTCTTGGTGAGGGTGCTTGCTGAGCTGCCAGGGTCTGGGGTAAGACAGAAGTGGGTTTGGTCACTTCCACACCACCAGAACCTAGACTCGGGGTCCTCTGTCTTTGTAGGCCTAACAGCTTAAGCATCCTGCCAGCTGCCCTGGGGAAACCTGTGCGTGACGTAGCCTCCAAGGTCTGTGCTGGCCAACGTCATAGAAGATGAAATCGTGGTGGGAATTCCTGGGGACTTCCCTCAGGGACTGACCTGGGTCCTGTCCCATCTTCCTAGGCTAAGGCCATTGGCATCCAGGGGAATCTGTCCGGTGACCTACTGCAGAGTGGAGGGCTGCTGGTGGTCAGCAAAGGTGGGTCAGGGAAGGGCATAGGGCCCCATCTTGCCCATCTTGGTGGTCCTGGTCCATGTCCTCATAGCTCTTCCTCTGGGCTTGGGTGCCTGGGGGGTAGGGTGGGCTGCTTGGCTTGGTTAGTGGATTACGCTCTCTTTCTCTGGTACATGGATGCAAGTTACGAGCAACTTGACTCCCTGCCTGTGGCTACAGGTGGTGACAAAGTATTGCTACACTTCATCCAGAAGTCCCCAGGTGACTATGTTCTGCAGGAGAACATCTTGCAGGCCCTGGGCATCTCTGCAGAGGTTTGCTCCAGCAAACCATCCCAGGTGAGCAGAGGCCTTGGGGAACACTGCTTGTTACCCACCCCTAAGGATATAAAACTCCCTTTGGGACAGTGGTTGGCATGGCCGGGAACTGAGCTACAGCCTTTTGGGATTTACAGTTTTCTCTGTTGCCAGCGTTGGGATGTAGCTGTGTCTCTAACTTTGCTTATAGAGGGAAACAGGCTGAAAAGATGGGACAGCAGTGAGGCCAGTGGGCAAGCAAAGCAGGGCCCCACTGTGGGTAGGAACTGCAGGACAGAGACAAGGCTGTGGGTTGAAGGAGGCGGGGCTGTGTCCTGGGTGTCTCTGTCAGTCATCAGTGTGGATCTGGTGTCCTCTGCTCCCAATGTGTGGCTTAGGAGTAATGTGTGGCTTAGGCCACTTCCTGTAGCCAGCCTTTCTCTATTTGTGGGGTGGGCGCCACTGCCCTTGGTCTCTGAGGAGTGTGTCCAGACTGACAGGGCCCCTGTTGTCCCCACAGTGTGATGAAGAGGTGTGTGGGAGGTGACAGTGGCCTCTGAGGACCTGGAGGCATCCGCAACCTTGCATGGGTTTGGAATAGGAAGAATCACTGTGGAGCCTCATCCCAGCTGGGACACTGGACCTTGTTCGTCTTTGAACAGCATTGAGCCATTAAAGCGCAGGCCCTGGGCAGCGAGTGTCTTCACTGTTTCCACCCTTTGCATCCTCTGCAGTCCCTACCACACTGTGGGTCCCTTCAGAAGGAGGGATGTCGAAGGTTCATCTTCCTAGAGGACAGACTTCAGGCCTTGGTTATGGGACCTTGGGGACAACTGTGTCATTTCCCTCCAAGGTGACCTAACATTGTAGCCCTTTGCTTGAGGACATGGAGGCAGGCTGAGGAGAGAAGAATTTGGTAGCACTCTGGCCATAGCCCCCAGATGGAACCCAGTTGTGGGGACTGAGATGGCAGACGGAGACCAGGGAACCTTTTGCTGATGCTGTCCTGGGAGAAACCTGGGTCAGGCTGATCATGTCTGTTTCCCCAGGTTCCTGAGGTCCAAGCAGAAGTCCAAACACCCTACCATTCCCTACCATTCACTTCTCAAGGGATCTTCCCTCTAGGTGGGCTCTAATGACCAGCTTAGCACCTTCCCCAGGTGACTGCAGTGTCCACCTTGAGGTCTCCCCTCTATCCAGTGACCATCTGTAAACAGTGGGTAATGTCCCCTTTGTATTCTAGACCATCTCCGGCTTCCAGATTCTACCTGTTCTTCCCATGTCCTAGGACCCCCTGCCGGGTACTGACATGTGTCACCAGGGTCTAGATCAGGTCCAGTCCTGGAAGCCCAGTCCACTGACCTGTGGTCCTAGAGGTGCTCTCTAGGGGCAACCTGGTCTCTCTCAGGTTCCTAGCACCAGGGTTCTTGGAGGCTGGTCTTGAGTCCCTCCTCCCAGCAGCTGTAACTCCTCCCCACCCCCCACCGGGCTTGCCTGGCTTTCCACCTGACCACCCACTGGGCTCCTTCATGACCAAAGCAAAGTCTTCTTTGAAGCATTTACTTAGCTCAAGTCTGAAGCTCCAGACATTTAGCCACAGGCTATGGAGAGGGCGGAAGACAGCCGACAGCTCCTGTAGGGCTCCTGACCCTCACTGGCCTGAAGGGGCGCGGGACCACTCATCCCAGATGTGGGCGGGTGGCTGCACTCTGGGCTGGGCGCGGAGGGCTGGCTGGCGGCTCCTGTGGCCTTCAGGCAAGGACTTTCATGTCTGCCAGCTGCACGTTTCACGAAGCCTCTGGGTGGCGGGGCATGGGCCGCAGCATAGCTCAGCCTTGTTACCAGATGCGACATCGCTTCTTGGGGTGCATGGGGCTGCCTCGTGGGCAGTGGAATGCCTCAGAGAAGGCTGCCAGGTTCTGTAGTGAGCCCAGCACCCTGTGGACCAGCAAGCCCGAGGAGGTCTGAGATATGGGGAGGGGCCCAGGCCAGGGGTGGGGTGAGTGTGCTTGCTTGAGGACTAGACACTTGCCTGTACTTCAGAGGGCTGTGGACATCTGTCTTGATGGATTGGGTGGCAAACTCAGGCCTGTAGGACCCACACCACACCTAGGGGTGCATGAGTGGCCTGGTTACCGGCCTGAGGGCTAGAGCTGTGTGCTTTGTAATAGGGAGGCCTCGACGACGGCCCAAACTGTTAACGTAGAATGCAGACAGGGAGGCCAACAGGCTCCTTCCCTTCTCTCCCTCAGTCTTCTCCCCAGCTGGCTCCCAATCACTAGCTTTATCTTTATGCAGTAAGCCCACAGGTTCTGGTTTTGGGGTGTAGCAAGCTCACGGTACCCTTGGAGGCACCCTGTCATCGGCCCTCCAAACCTGTTAGATTAGATCCCCAATGGGGGTTACCTGGGCATAGTTGACAAAGAAAAGCTGGGCATAGGTCAGGTTCAGTCCTGGCAATTGCTGATCTTTGCCACCTTCAGACAACCACTGTGCGTAAGCCTGCGAGCACCAAATTGAAGCCGGGTCCAACCAGGCTTCCAGAGAGCTCCATGCCTAATGATCTGGTTCCAGGGCCTGCCCTCAGGGGATGCCCAGCCTCCCAAGCTTAGGGCCGCTGTATACAAGTCAGGTAGTTCCTCTTCGACCCTCTGAAGGCCAATAGGGCTCTGTGGGACCCTTAACCAGATAGCTGCCACCTGGAATCCACCCATCTGGGCTCCTGGTACCCAGTCCTCTCTACTCCCAAGGCTGTATTGTGGACTGCTGAGGTCATGTCATTTCAACTGAGAGTGGGAAATGGGTGAGATGCCAGGTATATGGGTCACTGCTTCCTTCCCAATCTAAATTAGGACACAGTCCCAGCTTGGGCATCACCCTGACGTGCTGAGATTACACCAGCTTCCTCCCAGGGCCCACCTTGTATGCCTGCCGCACCCCACCATTGTCAGCAATGTTCTCCCCGAGGGTGGCGAATCCGTTCACCTGCATAAGAGAGACAGGGTGGGGGCCAGCCTGGCCTAGGCCTCCTCTGTCCCTGGGGCTGGGGCTGGGGACTGCTGTGCTGGGGACATGCTTACATGCTGGTGGTCTGCTAGGTCCCAGGTGAAGTTTCCATACTGATAGATCATGCACTCTGACTGCTTCCGGAAGTGATGGGCGGAGAAGTTGCTCCACCAGTCCAGCATGTTGCCGTTCTTGTCGAAGTTCCGACCTGCACAGGAACGGGGGCATGCATGCTGTCCCCAGGCCCTGCTGTCACTGTCTGCTGCACCCCTCCTGCAAGGCCAGCTCAGTGCTTTGATGTCTATTGAGTCACTTCCTCCAGCAGCCTGAGCTCAGGGGCACCATGAGCCCAGAGCGCCATGCTGGGGGCTGCTTGGGAGAGCATCCATGCCATGCCATTCTTGCCCCTGAAGTTAAGACCAGCTTAAATTCAGTTTCAAATTCAAACCCACACGAGGGAGCCCATGGCTACCCGCCTACGATCCTCCTGGCTGGACCACATGGGAAAGCCGGCTAAGGCATCAGAGATGGTGTCAGGGCGGCCCCTCCAGGGATAGAGACCAGGCAAGGCCTCTGTCCAACTAAGCCATTAAACTGAGCGGGCGATCCTAGTGCAGTGGGTTTGGGCACGCCTATGTGCCCCTTTACCGTTGTCATCAAAGCCGTGTGTGATCTCATGCCCAATCACCATGCCGATGCCCCCAAAGTTCAAGGCCTGTGGCTGCTCCTTGCTGAAGAAGGGTGGCTGGAGAATCCCTGCTGGAAACACTGTCCCCCCAAATGGGTGACAAAGATGATCTGTGAGTAGGTACCTCTGTGTGCCAGGCTCAGGTAGGCACCTCCACTGGGCCTGTTGTGTAAGGCTGCAGCCTAGGAAGTTAGGACTCCCTGCTCAACGTACAGGCAAGCAAATGGGCTCAGGCACCAACATAGGGGTGCTGGGCTGAGGATCCATGCCCAGTCTCTTCCCATGTACTGCTGCCCTCTCAGAAACGGTCTCTGCTGGTTCCTCCGTGTCCCTCCCAACCTACAACCCCTGAGGTGGGCCATAGGGCAACATGAAAGGATCTGGAACCCACTCTCCTTTAGACAGAGTTTCCCTGAGCAAGGGTGAGGGGCTGTACTCCAGCACTAGAGAGTCAAGGTGGGCTTACCGATCTGGTTTCTGTTTGGGGAGTAGAATGCATTGACCACTGCAGCCCCGATGATCCAGCTGTGGTAAATACACTGGTCATTTGGAATCCACATCTGCCAGGACACGCCCTATTGTCCCTCTGCCCTGGCTGAGGAGGTCTGTGGCCCAGTGGCCAGCTAGCACAACATTCTAAGCCTATCCCAAGGTCTGGCTCCTCTTTGAGGCCCCCAAAGCAAAGGATACTGGGGGAGGGGGGGGGGCTTGGGTCTAGTGTCCTCTTCAGCTGGCAATAGGACACACTCATGCTGCTATGCCAGGTCAGCCATGTAGCCACTCTACTCACAGATTCTGGTCAACCTTTTCCCGAAGCTTCTTGAGGCTCCTCTGGGCACTGGCCTTGAGGTTCTGAAGTCCGTTCTCAAAATAGAGGTCCTCGGAGAAAGTCAACTATGAGAAGAAAAGAGGCTGATGTGGCCTGCACTCAGGCAGAGTCCTCAAGAGGGTTAGAAGAAGGGCTGAGGGTTGTGAAGGGTCTCAAGACCCCCGGGTCAGCTGGCATGTGGCCCTCGGCTCCTGGAGGAGCTAAGGGGAAGGATATCCTGGCTCTGAACATTTATGTGACTTTCAGAAAGCTTAGTTTCGTTGGGCCTCAGTTTCCCCATCTCTGAAGAGAAGGAGGTTAGAGCCACTCCAGGGAGCAGGGTATGGCTGAGTGAACAATTAAGAAGCCTTGCATGGAGTGCCCCCTCCCCAGTGGTGGCTCAGATTGGTGGGCCTGGGGGCGGGCAGGCAGGGCACTGAAGGTACGCACACCGGAGTACTCCTCATCCAAGCGTCTGTTGTGTTCTTCCAAAATGTAGTCAGGGTAGCCGATCTGTTCCCGGATGTTCATGGCCTGGACAGAGGAAGGGCTGCTGGGGTCCTCAACCATGGGAGGTCTCTGGCCCCACATGCGGGCTCTGTTCTCCGCTGTGTGTGTAGGTAGGGTTCCGTATGAGTACTCCGGAAGCAAGGTGAGGTTTGTTACCAGGCCCAGAGGAGCTGGCATAGGTCCTAGCCGCAGACCATAGGGGCCCCTTATAACCCAGGCATGGCACCTGTTCCAGCACCCACCACGACCACCACCAGAAGGACTGGAACGGCCCCGGGAAAGCGCACTGGTTGTGCTTGCCCACCTTTTCCTGGGCCTTCCTCTTAGATGTCTCGTCCATCCAGCTCAGCTCATCCAGGGTGTCCACGAACACAGACCTTACCTTGTCAATCAGCTCTCTGACCTGGGAGAGTGCATCCTTATGTCCTACAGGGCTTGGCTAGATTTTCAGGCTTGGTCTAGGATGCCTTTAGGAGGAGGTCAGTACTGCCCTGGCCCTGACCTCCTGGGAGAGTATAACACTGATGTGGGTGACCATTCTGGCTCAGAGTTGGCGCCTCACAGGTGGTTTGGAAGCTTGCTCCCCCTGGGCTCAGAAGCCATACGCCTGTCCCTTTCCCAGGGGCCTAAGAGGGTCCAGGGCTGGAGCTTATGGCAAGGAGCACCAGGGCCAGGGGTTCTCTTGGCTTCCCTCTGTTCTGGTAGGCACTGGTATTAATGCATATCCCTTTAGGAGACACTGGATTCTGGGAGGGAATAGGGATTGAACTGGCCATGAACGGGAGTCTCCGGGCGGGAGTGACAGGACTGGCATCCTTGCCAGGAGGCTGACCCAGGGTGAGCCTGAGAGCTGCCATGGACTGCCCATTTGAAGGATACGCACCATGATCTTGCTGTTCTTGGAGAAGGCCTGCTTGATGTAGAGGGAGCCCACGGCGCTCTCCATGTTGCTGTTGACATAGCTGACACACTCCCTCCAGCGGACCTCTTCCACGGTTGTGCCATACAGCGCCTGGTGCATTCCTTTATTCACTCACTGTAGCTCGGGTGCCAATGCCTAGCTTTCCCAGGTCAGGTATGGGGCCCTGAGCTTGTGAGGCAGGCAGATTTTTCCACCATGGGCTTCAGGGTACATTGGTGGGGGGGTAGGGGGAGCCATGTATGACACAGGATGACTAAGAGCAGATGCTGGCCTTGGACATGAGAAGTCCATTATGCTACTTTGAAGGGATTTGTCATTTCTCTGAAAAAGCCAGGGCCCCCACTCAGACACTGTCCTCACCCCCTGGACCTGTTGGTTTGCCTGGACTCTTCCCAGAGCTTAGAGTTAGCACTAACTCTGGAACAAATTCTTGGAAACATATACAACTTTGGCTACCAGATCCCTAGATCCTGGTTTCCCTGGCTGTAGTGGCAGTAAGCTTGCCCTCCTCTCTGTCCCCAGAGATGTGAAAGCACAAGATGTGTCCACAGTCAGTCTTGGCCTCTGACCCCAAGCCGGCCCAGAGAGAACTCTGCATCCTGCTACTCCTTCCTGAATTGTGGATGTCCCGCCCACAAAGAAGCCTTGTGGCCATTTCTCTTGTCCAACCACTTGCCTTTCCAGTCTCTGTAGCGGGCTATTTACCCCTGGATCTCCTGGCCTAGCCTCTTCCTGACTTCAAAGCCAGAGCGACTTCTAAGAGAGTTCCCTGTCCTCCCTGGTCCCTCCGCTGGGCCATACTTGGTCTTGACAGCCCAGGCTGCGCTTTGCTGGCTGCTGACGGTTAACTGCCCCAGGAGGGCAGGGGCCCTTGTCTACCGGGTTCCTGCCTCAGACCCCAGTGAGGACTGCACAGCCCATAGGCCCATGAGCTGAAATGAATGGCTGACGGCCTGCTGGGCAGGGGCTTCGTCTACAGGACGCACCCACCTTGCGGTAGTTCACCCGTGCTTCTTTGAATCTCTGGCTCAGGCTGCTGATGCGATCTAGCACCAGGCGCCATACCAGGTAGTTCTGTATGGTCCTAGGGGAAGCAGAGGTGAAATGGGACAGGTGAGTGGCTATTGCCTAGAGAGCAGACTCGGCCTTGCCAGCAGGTTTTACAGCATACATGGTTCTAGATTCTCCAAGAAGCAGCCTGTTTATCCCTCATGCTTGACAGAACTCATATCACTAGGGTGAAGCACCATGGACACCAGAATTGAACCTGTGTGTCCCTCACCCCTGAGAAGTGCTTGATGGGTCCTCCTGAAAGCAGGAACTGTGTGTGTGTGTGTGTGTGTGTTGTGGGGCACCAACAAAGATGCCGAGGCCCTGTGGCAATGACCCCGGGCTTACTGTGCCGAGTACACATCAATGATGTCCTCAAGGTTCTCCAGGTAGGGGATGCCATAGACCACCACCTCCTCGTTGGGGAGCAGCTGGACCTCGACAGAAGCCAGCACAGTTTGGATGAAGAGAGTCCAGTTAAAGCCCTGCAGAGAGGTGGGGAAGAAGCAAGAGGCGGGGGGGCCTGTGCATCAACAAAACCCAGTTCCCACTGAAGAACATTTGTGAAACAGGTGAGAAAGGGCTGTCGGGAAGAATCAGGACAAAGGGTGACATTTCCCCAGAGCCTGTGGGCCATGCAGAGTATTTGAAAAATTGAGAGTAGTTAGAAAAAGTGCTGGCCAAACATGACTTAGCAAAAATCAGAAAATGTGATAGTCTTACACATATGACAAAAGTGGGACAGTTACTGTGTTCAAGTGTTTTTTAGTGTTTATTCTGAGAATTGAGCTTAGGACCTCATGCATGCAAGGCACTGCTCCACCACTAAACTCTACCAGCCCAATAGTTATTTTCACTCTCAGTAAATATTTCACACTGCTCAGCTTAGCGGCATATTTTAATTACTTTGGAATAAAAAAGTTCTGAGACAGGGTCTTTACTTGGGCTGGCCTTGAACTTCCTATGCAGCTGAGAATGCTCTGGTTTTTTGTTTTTTGTTTTTTTTTTTTTTGTTGTTGTTAGTTTGTTCTTGCTTGTTGGTTTTTTTTCTTTTTTTTTTTTCTTTTCAAGAAGGGGTTTCTCTGTGTAGCCCTGGTTGTCCTGGAACTCATTCTGGAGACCAGGCTGCCTCAAAAAGAGATCTACCTGCCTCTGCCTTCCGAGTGCCTGTCTTGAACTTACTGCTTAATTAAAAGTTTATTTTAATTTTTCTATGGGTGTGGTGTGCTTGTGTATCTGTGTGTGTCTGTGGGTGCCCATGGAAACAGTAGAGAGCACTGGCTCCCTGGAGCTGGAGTTAAGGTGAGCTGTGGATGTGGGTGCTGGGAACTGAACTCTGGTCCTCTGAAAGCACAGGTGCTTAACTGCTGAGCATTCTCTCTGGCCATGACTTCAAATCCAGGGACATGGATGTGATGAGCTGGGGCCAGGGCTCTCAGGTTCTCCTGTCCCACCCTTGGGCAGAGGTACTGATCCAGCTGCTTATCATGAGAGGCTGAAGGCCCAGTCACTTACTCTGACCTGGGCCCTGCCCCACCTGTGCCCTCCTCCCTCTGACCTGGGCCCTGCCCTACCCCTGTCCTCCCTCTGACATGGTCCTTTAGAACAGCTGTATCTTGCCCTGGAGGCAGCTTGTCCCAGGGCAACAATGGATGTCCCGCTGGAACTTTTTTCACTGTGCTCATTTAAATGTGCTTTTTGCCTGGGTGCCAGCCATGTGATTCCTTTAGAGACAGGGGTAGCTAGTTGGGAAATGAGGACCTAGATGGGGTGGGGCTGGGTGTCCGGGTCTGACCTTCAGATTAAACCTGTCCTGCAGCTCCACCAGATCCATCCTGTGGTACAGGGCGGTGACATCATGCCTGTTCTCCTGGGGGACTGTGGCCTGCGTAGGGATCCCGGTCACACAGCGTGGCACTCAGCACCTAGCCTGACCAAGCCTCCCAGTGCGGCCCCACCTCACGTTGGCCAGCTGGATCTCCAGGTCCAGCACCTGTGCCATCTCCTCGTGCACCATGGTGTTGTCTCTGGGCAGCTTCAGGTCTTTGCGCAGCATCATGGCCACTGCCGTCATAAACTGCAGGTAGGCTTCCCGCACCTGGGCCAAAGGACGGTGGATCGTGGCTTTGGCCACTCTGCGGGGGTGGGTGTGACATGCAGTGGCCCCCGGAAGCTTGCCCATCTAGTCTCCCCCGAGGGCTCCCGCACAGACAGCGCAGAATGGAGCGAGGATGTTGTCCACGCCACACCCAACCACTGGAGCCACCTTGCTCCCACTCCAGGGATAAACCTGCATGCTGGCCTCTGTGCCCTGTAGTCCGGGATACTTCTCAAACTTGGTTATGGAGTCCCGTGCCCTGCCTGTGCCAGACAGCTTAGTTAGGACCACCCTGTGGGCTCAGCTCCTTTTCACTGAGTGGCCCATCCCAGGCCTCTGGTGAGGGCAATTTTTCGGGGATGGACAGGTGCTCAATGACTCCCCAGCTGCTGCTGCCAGGGTGAGGTTGGGCTGCCCCAGCCATGATGGGGGCCACGGGGTGAGGAGATTGGCTCTTCAAGATGTTTGTCCCATCCATCTGGACACCCCTCCTCCCTCATGTCCATTCTTTGAGGGGCTTTGCTCACTCTGGCTGGAGCCGCGGAGTACCCCATCTACTTGTGGCCAGCTCTGCCAGCTGCGAGGCCGCACTGGCGGCCACACAATCAAGTGTGCAAGTGTGTGTGGGGTCGGGGAGTTTAGGGGGAAGGGCGTTCCAGGTCCCAATTTTCTGTATCCTGCTACCCTCTCTCACCTCTCTTCTTTGACCACGCCATCCTTCCTTCTGCTCCCAACCATCTGTCAAAACTCTGGCAGCTCAAGGCCCACTAACACGCACAGTCCTGCTGCGTGGGTCATCCCTGCCTCCTGCCTTTCCCTACCCTGTTCCTGGACAGGTGTCCTTGCTGTCCCTGCCTTCTTTCTGTCCATCAGATCTTCCTTTCATCATGGCCATCCCGGGCTACTCCCTAACTGGTGTCTCTCCACAGATGCAGGCTCAGGGCCTCTGCCCACCCCATGCTGTGTTCTGGGCCTCCCAGACACTGGAGCTGGTTCTGCATGGGTGGGTCAAGCTGAACGCGTTGCCTCTCTGGATAAGCTCACTCACCTCAGGACTGACACAAGTGTGGAAACTGGGTGTCCATGTTTGTGGCCACATTTCCACAAGCGCTTACAGAGGCTGTCTGTGGGGAGCAAGGCTAGTGGCCCACGATATGTAAAGGGTTGTATCTGACACCAGGCCTTAAGGCTCCTTGCTTACCTTGTGGTTTTTGCCTTCATTGAAATAGTACTCCCGGGATGGCATGCCCAAGGTGGGCTGGTCTATCTGGAAACACAGAGGGTGTGACTCCTGGCGGGTGGTGGGAAGCCCTGCGGCCTAGCTGAGGTGGGTAGTCGTCCCCTTCCCCAGGACTGTGCCTGGCAGAACACCAGCTCCCTGTAGAAGGCACATGCTTCCAAACTCAAGCCTTCCTCTGACAGAGAGAGGAAGCTGCAGGTTGGGACTTGTAAGGAGGCCAGAGAGAGGCTGGATGGGGCACAGGTCTCCTACAGGAAGGACTCACATTGCTCTCAGCCTACCCAAAGTGGCCTCTGTGTGTGCTTCTCTGACCTTCCAGGTATGGCTCTTGGAGGCTTCCTGCCCAGATGCCAAAAACTTCACAATGGTTCAGAAGCAGGCTAAGCACAGGGCTGGCCTCTCAGAACACGGTGGCAGCTACGAGGCCCTGTGAGGACCCTGCTTAGCACAGGTCACACTCCAGACTACTATGCTGTAGACAGGGACATACGCTGGGCTCACAGATCCCCCAGCTGCCATCCCAGTCTAGCTCCCTGCTCTGCTGCTAAGTCCAGAGTTCCATAGAAGGGGACCCGCCCCCGCCCCACCCCACCAGAGGGCATACATAGATGACATGCCGGCTGGCGTTCTGGTCGTCATTCCAGATGAAGAGGTCGATGAGGACGCGCTTGTTGAACTGCGAGTTCAGCACAGCCAACTGCCGCTCCAGCTCCCATGTGAGGCCTGAGGAACCAGCACCCAGGCTGGAGACCAGCTAGCCCAGCTCTGGACAGGCAGCTGCCTCCGAAGCACAGCATTCAGGAGTGGGGAGCCCTGCCTTGCTTAGGTAGGGAACTCATGTGGGACCTCAGGGACCGAAGTACCATTCTCCATTCTCCTTAGGGGCCGTTTTCCAAATGGCCCATAGGGAAATAGGTACTGAGGAAATCACCGTGCCCCTGCGTCAGAGGTCGGCCACCATCCGAGGGCTGGAAAGGGACACGAAGACTGGAGTCTGGGTAATAGGAGGAACCAGCCACAGTGCACACCTGTCACAGCTGCTACTGATTCCCCAGTGTGGAGCCAAAGCTTTGGGGGCCCTAAGTTGGCTCTGGGAAGAATGAGCCTCTTGGGGCTTCCTAAGAGCAGGCAGTTAGCTTGTGGGCAGCTGTGGGGTTGACAGACCTCGCCCCGATGTCTCCAAACTGGCCTGGACTTACCCACAGTCTCATTCCACTTGTCCATGGCCACAGGCCAGCCTCCTATCATATCTAAGATTCTCAGCAGAGGCCCAGAGTCTCTCTTCTCTATCACAGCTGAGAAGAGAAGGAAGGAGTAGTGCTTCCTCAGACTCTGGGAGCTCAGGTGCCATGACACATGCCCAGAACATGCCCGCCTCACAGCCTCAGCTTTAGCCCAGGGGTGAAGCAAACAGTTCCCTTGGGTCAGCGACAATGGGGTCTTGGTAGCCGGCAGCAGGTGATAGAAATTGGAGCAAAATTAGAGAAGCTGCTAGTTATATATGAATGAAGTCCTGGCTTCTTGGGCCAAACAGAGCAGGGCTCTGTGCAGCTGACAGTGGGCTAGCAGCAGAGGAAAGGGCTCGGGGTTCTCGTCACACACTGCTGCCATCTGCCTGGAGTACCCAGACTCTCAGGCTAGACATCCAGTTAAGGTGAGAATCCAGAGGAAGCTGCCTGTGGCTGGAAGGTACTGGCCATGTGATCTGAGGAGATAAAATAGCCCTGGACGTGCCCAGACAGGGGTTTCAATGACGATGCCCTCATAAGACCATGGGCCCAACAAGTGCCATTGTCAGTACACTGGACCCAACCTCAAAGCTCTAGGAGATGCTCAGGGAAAAGGCTGGCCCCTACCGGACAGCATCGATGCCCTTGGGCAGTTAACTACAGGCTGGGACAGGGCAGCTGGTCATGGGCCAGGCCAGATGAGGCGCAGCACACAGACACTGTGTGTGCCCTGCGTGGTGCTCACTCCCACCCTACGCTCAGTGTGGGGGGCTCTACTCACTTTCATTCATGCAGGAGCGGTACAGTGTCTTGGCTTTCTCCACAGCTGGCCGGTCCTTGACAGTGGACTCCTCCAACACCCCTGTGGGCACAGGAGAAAGCTGAACAGAAGTTGGGGTGACTGTTGGGTCTTGTCTTCTGCAACCCCTGGTCCTTTCTGGCCTTGGGCACCCCCTCCCCCCAGGGCTCCCATTGCTCTGGCAGACAAGAGGCTTCATTGGGCTGCACAAAGACACTGCAGTCAGCCCGCTCAAGGTGACATCTCCACTCACCCCGCTACCTAATGGGCTGGAGCCCACTGAGACACAGGGCCACCTTCCTGCCCTCAGCCGGCAGCTCTCACCTTTGAGGATGACCTCAAGCTCATCCCGAAGGATGTCAAAGACGCTGTATCGGGAGTTGGTTTCGGGGATCACGTGGTGCCGCAGCCAGCCTCCGCATGCGTACTGGTAGAAATTGTCACAGGGATTTTTTGACTGGTCCATGTTATTGAGGATTCTGGCAGCTGTTTACCCCCAGGGGGTGGAGGGAGGAGAGAAGACCCTGAATTGTGGACATCTCAACATTGTCTTTGAGTCTGAGACACAGTGTTGCCACTTGGGGAACAGTTTGAGATTTAATATCAGCATCAACTTGCTGGCAGCTACCAACCTGCCCTTGAGTGAGCTGGTCACTCTCTCTGAGCCACAGTGTGACTAGAAACTGTGAGGGGATGGCCTGGGGGGGGTTAAAGGACTAGGGCTGCCATGTATAGACCACGGGACCTTGAACCCGCCTGAGGACTTGATATTGGAAGATAGCTCCTGCTCTTAGGAGGGGCCCAGCTGGCGACCTTGCCCTCTAAACTGGCATCAGGCTCCTGGCCTCTTCCATGGCCCTTCTGCCCCACGCAGTCCAGTGGCCTCTCACTCCTCAGGAACTCCATCCCTTGGGGAAAAGCAGCTCCCCCATCTATTTCCTTGGGGCTTCTTTCTTATCAGATGGGATAGCTGTGTCCCAGCAGTATGTTGGTGACAAGGGCCCGAGCTTATGTGCTCAGTGCTCTGTTGCCCAGGGAACCCACAGAATTCTGGCCTGTTTATGCTGCTCTCTTGCAGCTGGAGATTTCACAGAACACTGCAGGGTGGGGCTCCAGGATCCACCCAGACAAGAAAACCATATTCTGTATGTCTCTCCAGGCTTTTCTCCCCGCCTGTTCCACCTTCTCCCCCTTTTGCCTCCTGCAAAGGGCAGTCTGTGGTACCCAATTTTCAGACAGTCTCAGCTTGGCTTCCAGCAGCCCCTGAGCAGCACTATGGCCACCCCAGGGGAGGTGCTCACCTGCCACCACGCAGCCTGGGGTGGTGCAGATTCCAGTTCTGTGTGGTGACTCTCTGATGGCTGGAGGAACAGAAGAAGCAGTGTGAGGTGTGCAGAGGGGAATGGGATGCACAAAGGCTTGGGTGGGCACGGGGCAGGCCTTGGTGAGGTACAAACTGGGCGAGTGTGGCAGGGCATAGCAGGGGCAGGAGAGGTGGGGTGGGTCTCCATCCTCCCCCACCCTCCATGAACACCTCCAGGATAGGTCTGAATCACAACCCTGGTCCTTGACAGCTGAACCTCAAAGTGTGAATTTTATTTTCTGCAGTGACCTGGGATCCCCTTTAAATTCCCTGTCTCTGTTGGAGCCCTAGTGTGACCCAGGACCCTCGGAACTGAGGCTGCTTGTGCTCTCCTACCTTGCTGTCCTGCCAGACCTAAGGTACACACCATCCCACCCTGTCCTTACCCTGTAGTGAATATAGCCAAAGATGGCATCGAGCTGGCCTCCTGGGTGCTACCCAGCCATTTCTAGACAGTCTGCATACCACAAGCACTGGAGACTGGTGTTCCTGCCAGCATCCTCTCTTCCTCATCCCTCCTGTGCTCCCTGCCCATCCACATCACCCCACCCATGGCAGGCCCATATGCCAAGCCCACCTCCTCAAGGTGTCTGGCAGGGAAGGCAAAGGCTACCTCGTTTTACAACCGTCCTCTCTTCCTGGGAGAAGCGCAGCCAGCTACTTAAGAGGGGCAGCTGCTTTCCTGGGGAGAAACACAGTGCTCAGCCCCCAGTCCCCTCCTCGGAACCTCAGGGATCACTGTATGTCAGCGCTGGCGTCTGTGTTCAGCGATCAGGAGCGCAGTGCTCACCACACACCAGGGAGCTCTCCACCCTTCCTCCTCCTCTCCCTCAACTTTCCTGCTAGGCTTTCGTGCGAGAGGGGAAGGGCCCTCTTATCTTGCTATTCCTATCTTTTTTTTGTTCTTCCCAAACTACCCAGGCTCTTCCCATCTTCCTGGGCTGTGCCTACAGCAGGCTGCTTTTGAGGTCCCACCACAGGAATAAATAAGGTAATTTAGGAGAAATTGGATCCTTGCAGGCAGGGACTTCCCTAGTGGCGACCCTCCCCCGCCATCTTCTGTATTCTCACTGCCTGCTGAAGGTTCAAGGCCACCCTCCTTGTCCCTGTCCCTCCAGTACATATGGGGAGGGACACTGCTTAGAACAGAGGTCTTCAGGACCTGGAGGGGCATTTGAGAGAGCAAGTCAGGCCTGGCCATCTTCAGACCTGGTGTGTGGTGTTGAGACTCCCCATAGCCAGACACACAGACCTGTGGGGAGGAGGAAACAGGGCTGTGTACTCTTGGCCCCTGGCAGAAGGTGCTGGAGGTGCCAATGATGGCTGCTCCTTGGGGCTAGACAGTGTCGAGGGCCATTCGCTCAGCACAGGAGGGTGTTACAAACCAGACCATATCAGCTGTGCTGCCAGTGTGGACTCTGTCTTTGAAGCACCTACCCATTCACCCCCAATCTGATGGTGCCATTGAGGGAAACCTTTCAAGGGAAATCTGAGCTCCATGGACAAGAAAGTTGACTCCTCAGGCCTGCAATGGAAGTGGTGGGGGTCAAGGGAAGGGGGCTGCAAGCAGTCAAGCAGCCTTGAACTTTGGCTGCTTCAGGGGTGGTGTGTTCATCTCAAGAGCAGAGCCTGAGGGTGAAACCCTGGACCTTGGATCTCAGAGTCTCACCTCCCGAGGGAGGACACGTGACCAGGAGGAAATCGCATTTGCAGACTCCCCACCCACCTCTGGAGCTCCCCTTGGAGAGCTCAGAACACCACAAGGAAGATATGGACACAGCAGCACAGAAGAACAGGACCCCAGACAATGAGCACCCCTCTTTCCACAGAGGAGTGGCCAGGCCAGAGCACAGGAAGGGAGGCCGTGCTGCAAGGCTGACTGCAGCCTGCTGGGTGCGCGTGTGCGTGCTGCTGTGAGGAGTTGGGGTTCTGGGGAGTCTGCTGCACAGGGTATAACTCCCACCTGTGATTCTTGCTAAACATAAGTTTGTGGTGATGCCCACAGGCAGAGAAGGGAAACAGAACCTTCCACTTCCAGCCCCCAGTGAAGCAGGTAAATATTCTTGACAATCAAGAAGGAACCCTGGGGTGAGGGGTACAGCTCAGTTGGTAGAATTCATGTCTAGATATGCACAAAGCCCTGGGCTCCATTTCTAGCACCACATAAACCATGTGTGGCTCTTAGGAGGTAGTAGCAGGAGAATCAGGAATTTAAGGCCACCCTTAATTAGATAGTGAATTTGAGGCCAGCTTCCTCTGGGCTATATGAAACCTTGTCTCAAAAGCTCCACAAACCTTGCATGGTGGTGCACACCTCTAATCCTAGCACTTGGGAGGCAGAAGCAGGTGGATCTCTATGAGTTTCAGGCCAACCATGGCTATATAGTGAGACACTGTCTCAAGAAAAATAAACCAAACATATATATACAAACAAAATACCAAACCAGCAGAGAGCCTCAAACGGTCAAAAGGAACGCAACATTAGCAGTGGCGGTCTGTACAGTGGCTGTAGTCACTGGGCTGAAGACTATTGGAGAAGACGCGCAAAGCTTCCAGGTGCACCATGGGCTTCACCAGGCAAGCGGAAACCACAGGAAAGAGTGGGATGGAAAGGCAACATATGCACTTGGGTGCATATGCCCCACAGAAACATAGTACATGCAAAGAACTACAAATAATACATAAGAAGTGTTTAAACGGTGATGCGGAGAGCGACGGGGGACGCTTCACATTGATCTCTGGCCTCCACACCCGCATGCACGTTCCGTGCGCGCGCGCGCGCGCGCACACACACACACACACACACACACACACACACACACGCAGTGTGTCACTGCGTGCGTTGGGGTTACTCAGGGCCACACATGGTAGGATCAGGAGTTAAAGGCCACCCTCTCTACAGAGCCAGTTTAAGGGTACATGAGACCCTGTCTCAAAAAAAAAAAAAAAAAAAGTGAGGACACGATGTCACAGGCATGACAGCCGTTGAAGCACACAAAAGAAGCATCAATGTTAGTGCCTGTCAGACTATCCAAATGTAAACAAAAAATGAAAGGAAAGGAGGAGAATGAATTGAGAGAAGAGCTGCCAAAGCCTAGAGTGTGCCAACCACGGTGGCCCCAGTCTTTAGGAAGCAGAAATGGAAAGACTGCAAGCTCGGGGCTGGCCTGGGCTAGACAGGGAGACCCGACCTCCTAAAGAAGTGGAAGCAAGAAGGATCCCGGAGCTGAAGCCACAGGCAGTGAATGGCTAGTATGGACGGTACTCCAGGAAGGACGGAGCTCCCTCGGTGCTTGCTGATGTGAGCTTTGGTAACGTCAATTCTATGCTAAAATCAAGTAATAGCCTTGAGGGTTGGAAGATGGCTCAGTGGTCAAGAATGTGCCCTGCAAATGTGGGGACTGGAGTTTGAATCCCTAGCAGCCAAGCAAAGGTTGGTAGGTTGGTAGGCCTGGCGGCCCACTGGTAACTGCAGTGCTTTGAACTGGGAACGTGGGGTCTCTGGAGCAAGCTGTTGAGCAAGAGTAACAGCCTGTGAGCTCCGGGTTCAAGTGAGAGACCCTGCCTCAACACAGAGGGTGGAGAGCGATTGCACGCACACGCACACGTAACATACACATGTCCACACACACACACACTACACACATGCACACATCACACACACATGCACACACCACACACACGCACACACCACACGCACATGCACACACACACTCGAACATACATATCATGCACAGACGCGTACACTTGCACACACCACACGCACATGCACACACCACACGCACTTACACATAAGAAAAACTCATGCACACTTCACATCTATGCACACACGCACAAATCACACACACTGATGCGCAAATATGCACGTACGTTTATGCAGACGTACATATGTGTACAGACGTATTCCACACACATACATACATACTAGTCTTTGCAATCCCTCTGAAAGCTTGTTTTCCTAAAATTTTGTTTTTCAAAACATTAAAAATCCCTTGACTGGCAGATGTGGTGCCAGTAATCCCAGCACTCAGGAGGCAGAGGCAGGAGGATCTCTATGAGTTTGAGGCCAGTGTGGTCTACAGACTGAGTTTAGGACATCCAGGGCTACACAGAGAAACCTTGTCTTGAAAAACAAAACCAAAACAAAACTGGGAAGAGACTGGCGTGGTGGCTCAGTGGTTAAAAGCACACGCTGCTCTTACAGAGGATCCGAGTTCAGTTCCTGACTCTGGGTTCTCAATGCCCTCTTCTCTCCTCAGAGGGAGCCTGCACTTGGGTGCATATGCCCCACAGAAACATAGTACATGCAAAGAACTACAAATAATACATAAGAAGTGTTTAAACGGTGATGCGGAGAGCGACGGGGGACGCTTCACATTGATCTCTGGCCTCCACACCCGCATGCACGTTCCGTGCACACACACACACACACACACACACACACACACACACACACACACACAGTGTGTCTACGAGAGAGAGAAGAATGAGGGTGAGAAATCTTCTTGGAGGCTGGGGTGAGAGGTGGGGGGTGTTGGGAGGCAGATGTGGGGAGTGTGTGTGGTGTGGCCAAGGAAACGCATCCTTGAGACAACAGGAAGCTGTCTCAAGTGGAAGAATCTCAAGACACCGGATGGAAACAAACACCTTCTCAGAGGAAACTTTCTGCTGACATCACACAGGAAGCCAAAGAAAGGCCCATGTGGATGTGAGTTTATGTTTATAGAAGAAGTGGTCCGTTAAGAAGAACAAAGAGCAGGCCCCAAGGCGCTCAGAGACGTGGCCTATCAAGGCACCTCTTTGCAACAAAGCCCTCAACACCCCACTCTGCTGTTGCTCCCACTCAAGGGCAAAGGGTACTCTGCTCACCTCTTGCCCGTAGTGAGTCCACGTAGCCTGCTTTAGCTGACAAAACGAGGTGGCTGTGACATGCTGCAGTCCTGAGCTAACGCTCCAGGTGGCCTAGGTGCTCTCATGAGAACTGCTCTCAGGACACGAACAAGATTAGTTAGGTCTCTGTGGCTGGCTGGGCTTCCCTGGGCACAGAGGTGCTCAATGGGCGTCTGGCTTGGCTCAACTTGACCTCTGCCAAGGTCAGATATTAGGTAATTGTTGTTTTGGGCACCTGGGTGTTGGGGTGTCTTATAGGTATCTAAGTGACACAGAGCGTAAAATACTGTTTGAAATAAACGATAAATGATTGGAAACGGACAAGGAGCAGTTAAAAACAACCTGAACAAGAATCAGCTGTAAATGCTACCACAAGGGACAGTGAGATGGCTCAGTGGACCAAGGTGCTTGGTGTGCAAATCTGATGACCTACTGTAAAAAGAATCAGCTCTCAAAAGTTGTTCTTTTATTATGTGGCATGCACGCAACTGAGTTCACACATGCCTCTCTCTCTCTTCACACACACACTCACTCACACATACACACACACACAATGACACACAAATAACAAATACAATACAAAACAACTGCAAACGCAGACTGGATGGAGCCAAGCCAGCTGAAGAGACTGAGTGAGCTAGACTGATGCTCTGTGGAGTTTACCAGGAAAGTCAGGGACAGAGACTATCACAGAAAAACTGACCACCAGAAAGGACAGACTGAATCTTATTTCATCAATTTATTGTTTCTGTGTTCACGTGTGGAGAATGCCTATGTGCACACGTGTGTGGA